AAACTTGCTAAAATTGCATCTGAGCAACAAACTGCTATGGAATAGATGCAAAAATTGCTAGACAAAAGTGATGATCTGTTAGATGAGGAAATGGATCGTAGCCAAGCTGTGTCTGAACACCTCAGACGTCTTAAGTCAGAACATGATGAACTTGAAAGTCGTCATGTGGCCCTCTTAGCCCAACATGAGAAGCTATCCTATGAATTTCTTTAAAGGAAGAAAGAACTCGAGAAGCTAAGAGCATCTCATGATGATCTTCAAAAATAGAATGATTCATTACTCGTCCAACAGATCAGCACCGCTCAGGAAGAATTTGTTGCTCCATGCTTAAAATGCCTTGAACGTGACAATGCTAATTCTTCAACTGAATGTCCAAATGCTTCAACTGCTGCTATATCTTCAAATGTCTTTGTGGTTTCATTCTCCTCATCTGAGGAGACCATGAGTGTTACCTACAAAAATGAAGGTCTGAAGGAATTGTACATCACATGCATGTACAAAAGCCTCAAAGGACATGAGACTCTTTGTGATGTACTCAAGAAGCAAATTCTGAATAGGAACACTAGAAAAGTGGTATTGCTTTTGAGAGAAAGCTAAATGTTGATGGATCTTATTGGAAACCTGAGCAGTATCCCAAAACCACATGGGTTGCTGCAAAAGGACCTCCAGTTGATCCATCCACTCTATCTGGCTACAACTATGATACTCCACATTCTTCTGATGAGTCATTTGACTCCAACTATAAATTGTTCAAAAATCAAAATGGTGAAGTATTTGCTAGATTTGTTGGTACAAACTGCAGGAATGGTCTCCCAATGAAGAAAATCTGTGTGCCCAAGAGTCTTCTTCAAAATCTTCAGGGGAATGTCATCATGACACCACCGAAGAAGAGAAACCCCAGGGAAAATTCTTCACTTGGACCAAAGTCGTCAAATGGTCATAGACCAACTTATGGTCACACTAATGCCTCTGTTTTGCAGGGAAATCAACAACGATCTGATGAATATTTGCATTATTCGTCAAATCACTATGTGCACAAAACTTCTAAGAATTTATGTGCTTACTCATTGAATTACTATAACCCTCCTGTGAAGAGAAATGCATACTCTTCAATGCCTAAGTTTTCTATAAATGCATTACGCTACATTGCTTCTCTGCCACCCATTCAAATGTGGGTGGTTAAGAAGAAGAACTAATCTCTTCTGCAGGGTCAGGTCTTCAGACAACTAAAAGTCTGATGAATTTGTTGAAGACCTGACATATGCTTGTTGGGATGCAAGCTAATCATGATGAAATGCATTTCTCATTTCACACATCCCTTATGTTGCTTGTTATACTATACTGATGGAATTCACTGACAAAATTGATGATCATATTCTTCAACTGAAGTATAGAATTTGTAAGTGAAACTAATGCTTCTACATGATGATACACCAAAAGCCACATAATGAGTATTGGACAGTGGCTGCACCAACCACATGACTGGTGATAGGAATCTCCTCACTAATGCTCCCCTTGATCCATCTCATCTGAAGCATATCACCTATGCAGAAAAAAGGAAAAGCAAGGTATTGGGTCTAGGTAAGGTTGCTATCTCAAAGGATCAACACTTGGAAAAGGTGATGCTTGTCGAGTCCTATACATCTCCATCGTACCTATAATTTTTGATTGTTTCATGCCAACATTCTACAACTTTCATATACTTTTGGCAACATTTTATATTATTTTTGGGATTAACATATTGATCCAGTGCCCAGTGTCAGTTCCTGTTTGTTGCATGTTTTTTGTTTCACAGAAAATCCATAACAAATAAATCCCAAACACGATAAATTTTATAGAGAATTAATTTGGAACATATGTGATTTTTGGGAAGCAAAATCAATGCGAGACGATGTCCAAGGGGCCCACAAGCTCAAGGGGCGCACCCCTACCCAGGGCGCGCCTGGCAAGCTTGTGGCCACCCCATAGGTCGGTTGGAGGTGTCCTTTGACCACAAGGAAGCTTATATCCGGATAAAAATTGTGTTAAAATTTCAACTCAATTGGAGTTACGGATCTCCGGATATTTAAGAAATGGTGAAAGGCCAGAAAAGGGGTCGCGAAACAGAAGAGAAACATAGAGATACATCCAATCTCAGAGGGGCTCCCGCCCCTCTGCCACCATGGTGGCCATGGACCAGAGGGGAATCCTCCCATCTAGGGGGAAGGTCAAGGAAGAAGAATAAGGGGGACTCTCTTCCCCTCTCTCTCGGTGGCGATAGAGTGCCACCGGGGCAAGGATCTTGATGGTGATCTACATCAACAACCTCGATACTGCCAACACCAACTCCCCACCCCCCCTCAATGCAGCGGTGTAACACCTCTTCTCCCCGCTGTAATCTCTACTTAAACATGGCGCTCAACACTACATATTATTATCTAATGATATGTGGCTATCCTATGATGTTTGAGTAGACCCGTTTTGTCCTATGGGTTGATCGATGTTCATGATTGGTTTGAGTTGTATGTTTTATTTTGGTGTTGTCCTATGGTGTCCTCTGTGTGACGCAAGTGTGAGGGATTCCCGCTGTAGGGTGATGCAATACGTTCATGATTCTCTCATAGTGGGTGGCGAGAGTGACAGAAGCTTATACCCGAGTAAACCAAACGAAGTTCAAATGTGGTGAAAATTTACGGTAATTTTTTCTGGACCAAAATTAAAGGACCCTAGAAGCTTCGGAGGGGGAGGGGGAGATCAGACAACGCTTGAGAGAGCCACAAGCTCAGGTGGTGCGCCCCCAGGGTGCCGCCACCCAGGCTTATGGGCCCCTTACAACTTTGTTTGACCTAATTCCAAGCCTATAACTAAAATCCAGAAACCACCAGAGCGAGACCCGAAACAATTCTTTCGCCGCCACAAGCCACTATTGTTCCGCGATCCCATCTAGACGTCTTTTCCGCTACTCTGTCGGAGGGGGAATCAATCACGAAGGCCTTCTTCATCAACCTTGTTGCCTCCATGATGATGTCTGAGTTATTCCCCATAGGACCTATGGGTCCATAGCAGTAGCTACATCTCTCTCTCTCTCTCTCTCTCTCTCTCTCTCTTCCTCTCTCTCTCTCTGGTCTTCAATACAATGTTCCCTTCGGAGACCGATTCGATGTAATCTTTTACGGTGCGTTTGTTGGGATCCGATGAATTGTGAGTTTATGATCAGATTGTTCATTGAAAGTAATTGGGTTATTTTTGAAATTTATTATGTGTGATTGTTATACCTTTATATTTCTCCCCAATCTATCCATTTAGTTTGGCTAACTAGGTTGATTTATCTTCAGCAGGAGAGGTGTTTTGTGGTAGGTTCAATCTTGCGGTGTCCTCACCTCGTGACAAAAGGTGTAGCGAGATACGTATTTGTATTGTTGCTACTAAGGATAAACGACGAGATTTGATCATACTGATTGATCTTATTTTGTCTACATTATGTCATCTTGTTTAAAGTATTACTCTGTTTGTCATGATCTTAATACCCATAGAGGCAAGCATACAAGCGCTCTCGAAGTGGAGTAATAGTAGTGTTAGTAAGTTTAACGCTCTACTTGTCATGGACGTAATGTCTATGTACTGATCATGCCATGAATAACATCATAACTATGCGCTTTTCTATCAATTGTCCAATAGTAATTTGTGTATCCACTGTTGCTATTTTCTTGAGGGAGATGCCTCTAGTGAAAGCTATGACCCCCGGGTCCATTTACATCATATTGCTAAAACCCTAAAAACCTTCCTGCAATTTATTTACCTTTATTTAGTTTTGCAATTTATCTATCTATCGCTATCCGAATTAATCCTTGTAATTAACGAGTACAAGGGGATTGACAACCCTCTTGCGTGCGTTGGTTGCAAGTATTTGTTTGTGTATGTGCAGGTACTGTCGACAGTTTTTTGCCCGAATCTTCTATTGGTTCGATAAACCTCGATTCTTAACTGAGGAAAATACTTTTTGCTATTATACTATACTACATTACTCATCCTCTTCGGGAAAATCCCAACGCCTTCCTCCCAACCTCCATATTTGGATCACCGAAGGGATACTTTAGAGTGCACTCCATTATCTTGGACGTGGCGGGAGGGAAATTTCCTCAACCACCTCGAACGGAATTGAATACAGTAACCAAGAAAATCAAGTCGCGACCATCGGGAATGTTGTGTGACGCATGAGCAGTGTGTGCGTGCTTTTGTGTGATGCGTGAGTGTTGTGTGTGCGCTTTGCCTTCCATCTCTCTTGTGTGCGCTCTAGCGCCTAGGGTGAGCGTGTGGTGTGCGTACTTCAACGTTTGGCCGTGCATGTACTCTTTGTGTGCCAATGTGGTGGTCTTGCAGTGGCCAGAGTAGTCTGGTGGCACTCGTCGTCGCCGTGGAGGACGAGTGATTGATGCCTCCTTCCTGACAAGCTGGTGCTGACACCAAACCCCTCTTCCGCCATGGTATTGCGTGTGCGTATAATGGGTGGATTGGGGTTTGGGGAAGAAACTGTCAACCAATGGCAAGCGGGTCCCACATAAGAAAAATATGGAGGTTGTTATTGATGCTTTTGACTTTGTCGAGTAGCTCTTGAGTCTCCATAATTCTTTGAAGGACGCTACATAACTGATATGTAAATGTTGATGAATCTCAGCCGTTGATAACCTTAGGGTGATGAATCTCCACCATTTATTTTCTATCATTTCAATAATATACTCCCTCCGTTCTATAATATAAGACGTTTTTTTGACTTCAGTGCAGTGTCAAAAAAACGTCTTACATTATGGGACAAAGGGAGTAACATATTGATTTTGCTACAAGCATACTCATATGGAAAATTATATTTTCAAAGTATTATACAGACCATGCTGGTTGATAATTAAATGACACACACTCACCAGAGTTACATACTGATAAACCATACTAATAAACCCATGCAAAATACTCAGAATAACAGTGTATAAGCGCTGTCGCTGACGCATCCAATCAATCTGGGCCGATCATATCTCGTCCATGAGCTCTTGGAAAGCGTCCATGGCGGAAGCCGGCAGGCCGAGCAGCACGTTGATGCTTTTCCTCTCCTTGCCGTGCGCGAGGAAGAGTATGACCTCCTTCTCTGGCAGCGTGACTGGCCCGGACATGGTCGGCTCGCCCCAGCCGAAGTCGGCGCCGTTGAACGCGAGCCGCGACCACGTGGTGATGAGCAGCGTCGACGCCAGCGATGGCCGTGCGCGCGTCGCCTCAAAATAGTCCACCGCCGACCGCATATACTCGTCCGTTACCATCCGCACGGCCTCCTGCACCTTCCCAGCCGCGCGCGACACCGGCGACGACAGCAGATCCCCCGCCGTGGCTAGTGCGTTGGTCAGCACGATGCCGTTCCCGAAGTACCCCTTTGGGAGCGGAGGCACGAAGCGGCGCCGCCCGTCCACGGCGAACAGCAGCTTCGTTTGCTGCTCCGGCGCGAGCCCTAGCGCGCGGGTGCGAGCGCGCCAGACGAGGCCGGAGAGCGCCTCGAAGGTGGTGCATTTCTCGAGATCCCCGTCGGCGAGGGCAAGACCGCGGACACGCTCAAGCCTGTCCGGATCGAAGCAGAAGGCGCGGTACATCAGCTCCTGGCGGCCGTAGAGCGCCGCCATTTCCGAGACGTCAGCGATCTCCTCGAACTCGTAGTGCGGGTTGGAGATCACAGGAGGAGCGCGCGGGCGGAGAACGGAGCGGTCGAGGAACGGCGGCACAGTGAGCTCTGTGGCGCCGCGCGCCATCTCGGCCCAGGAGTTGACGAACTCCATGGCGCCCAGACCGTCGAACATGCAGTGGTTCATGGCCAGCCCGAGGCTGAAGCCGCCACACTTGAACCTGGTCACCTGCGAATTAAGTTGACCAATGGTAAATAAATTTCTACTATTCAAAGTACACCGGGGTGATGCCCTTTTCGAAAAAAATATATAACTCAAAGTACAAACCACACAGTTCAAATTCATTAAATTTCCAGCAGCAGCGTTTTGACTAATTTGAGTGCTGGATGTATCAAGGTTAACAACTATTTGGTGCACGATTAATCTTGTGTGAGTTTTGGAGCCTAGCTGCTGGTACTACATGTTGGATGATTGGATAAGTTATTAGCGAATGTCATGTATCTGTCAATATGTCATGAGGTAGCTCGACAACTAAAACAAAACCGATGGTATGGTTTGGTTGATTTATAGGTAGAAGTGGTTAAGCTAACAATGGAGTACTAAATAAATCTTTGTCCAAACAAAACATATTTGGATTTTATCAAAGTGGTGCTAGTAGGTACTAGTAGGAAAGAAACCTCTGTACCAGGAAAACATATTTTGATTTTATCAAACCCTTAAACTATGTATGAAAAAAAGAGATTCATGTGCACACTAGCACCCAGAAATTCGCCCCCAACTCCCCGGTCTACAAGGTGGGCCATAACAACCTTGCCCTGGGCTAGTATTGCCCAGTCCTCAACTCTTGACCACTCCTGTCTACAAGGTTGCTGTGGCGCACCTTGTAGTAGGACTACTGTACAAAGGAGTATTATCAAAGAAGTACCCGGCCGGAAGCAGTACATGTTTTGTGGTGCCGCATTGAATTCACTTTTGTTCAAACCCTGTGGAGTCGATCCCCTCACTGCTAGCCAACCAATACTAACTTCAATTATTCGGGTCACGCAAGGGAAGCGCAGTAACACCGGGAATACGTGCATCCACAAAACTTTTATCTTCTCCTTTTTCACGAAAATGGAAGAGGCGATCGAGGGTCCCCGTGGACACAACGAAGCCGCCCCCGTGGAAATGGAGGGCGACGCGCATACGTAGATAATGCAATGCCTCTGCGCTCGAGCGCGTGCGAGTGGCGTGGTGTACCTGCGCCGTCATGGGCGGCATCTCGAGGATGTTCTTGGCGCCGGGGACGGAGTACACGAGCTGCCCCAGCGCGGCGGGGTCCGGGGTGGAGAGGTCGCCGATGAGGGCCAGGTCGCAGGCGGCTTCGGCCTCCACGAATGGGACGCCCTCGCCGGTGCACTCCACGGTGAGCTTCATCTCCGGGCTGATGCCGAGGCGGCCGGCGAGCGGGTGGTAGTGGACGAGCACGCGGGCCAGCGCGGCCCGGAGCGCGTCCGCGGCGCCTTCGTTGCCGCGGTCCGACGGGCACTTGAAGCAGTACACGGTCTGCACGATCACCGCGATGTTCTGGTCCAGGTTGGACAGGTAGTACTGCTCCCCCGTTGGTGTCGCCTCCGCCGGCGACACCAGGGCCGGCTCCCTGCGCTTCACCGACATCAGCTGCGCCTTGCTGCCCGCCATGGTGGCCACGCCGTTCTGCTTCGCCTCCGCAACCTGGACGTACGAGTAATATGAACAACACGAAGATGCAACATACACAATGTAATCAGCAAAGAGAAATTGAGTTGGTACTGCGCACTCACCATTTTGATGTTCTCTTCGAGTGTGTGCCTGTGTGGATCACAGAGAGAGATTGGTGGGTTTAAAGGGAGAAAGAATACAGAGGAAGTGGGGTTTCTGTGTTCTGAGGAGATGGGTTTGTGGGGAAGTGCTTATATAGCGAAGGGTAGCTTGCTTGAGGTGGTCAAGGTTAGGAGGGGTTGATGCAAGAACCGTTGGGGTTGGAGGGGTTGCATAACAACCGATGTTGTTTGCTTGGGGATTCAATTAATGAATTTGTACCGGAGAATCTGGACAAGGAAACACCATTTGTTTAATGATGAGATTAATTGCTCTCCCCGCGTGTGAAGACTTTTCATGTAGCAGCCCTACTCATGGAGACTTTAGGTTTGTTTGTCATTGGTAACTTTATTGAAAACTATAGATGATAGCCCCCGTCTTGTTGTTGCGGGGAATTTGATTAAAAAAATGCAGCTGCAAAAACAACTAAACCTAATGCATAGCATTGTATCCTTAGTTTAAGAAAAACAGAACAAAATGATGTACATAAAAAAAGAAAAACTTCAAAAATAAATAAAAAAAAGAACAGAACAAAATGATGTACGTAAAAAAAGAAAAATATATTCAAATCACAGTTAATGTAATGTCATCTTGTAACAAAAATATGAAGTGCAAACTACATAGTGTGCTACAAGCAAATAACACATGAACCCGTCGATGACAACACAAAAACAATGTAAAAAAATGTAACTTATGACAGACATGTATGACTTACCGATGTGGCAGGACGGCATGTATAGGCAATATAGGTTGTGGCTTGCACTAATGGAAAAAAAAGCTTATGAGAGCCATGTATGACTTGCTGATGTTGCATGTATTACATGGATATAAAATATAGTTAATGGATTACAACTATATAGTAATAGAGGATTTTATAGACTTTAAAAATATACTACTGTAAGTGACAACACGTGTACAACTAGGAACGAAAATGGCGTGGAAACAGATGGAACTTAGTGTTGTGACATATGTTCCACATTTGTAAGCTGGAACAAAAGAAATATAAAACTCTTAGTGCATCAAGATGATGAATGGCAACTTGATTAAACGAACTAATATTTGTTCAAGTGTATTTCAATTATAGCCGACCCAAAAGGATGTAACTAGGAAGATGGTTGGTGACCCCTAGTTCTTCAAGGACAAGTGTTGGGAAGCCTAAGGACACATTTTATATCTTTTAGTGATTCACGATCACATTTTATATCCTTTATTAATAAGGAAATCGGAGTTAGCATGTATGCGGAAGTCGATCAAGTAGAAAAAAAGAGTATGCTACACTATCGAGGAAGAAAAATCTAATGCATACGCTGAGGAACATGAGTGTAGTTAGAGATCACATGTTCGAGTTTACTACTAGGTGCGCACTCGTGATAGACGAAAGAAACTTAGTGAAGGGAAGCTCCCTTCTCCTCTTGGATCCCTCAAATGATTCATCCGTCCAAGCATCACAGGTGCAACACCACCAAGGTATTAACATGTTTGGGAAGGAATGTCGCTTGCCTGGACTGCTAGTTCCGCACGAGCGACACAAAAACTTCAAGCAAGATTTTAATCTAGAATTGATTCTTCAACTCTATGCCACACTCAGGTTTTCATATGCTTCATTAAAATCTTTCCATTGAATGTTAAATATAAAGATATACATGTCACACATTTATGAGTTTGCAAAGGTTCTCAAGATTCATGCAAAAAATAACCACAAGTGTGAGAATAACCATCAAGAGGAGAAATTCAAGAAAAAGAATATGTGATGTTCTATGATGTTAATTTGTGTGACAACTTGAATGAATGCCAAGGGATAACTACTAGCCAAGCAAGTTGAATGAATGATGGCGTTCGGTTCCTCGGGCCACTGATGTGCCATCTTCTCATGTTAAGTACGACAAGCGAAGTGACATGACCTATCTGGGATCTGCAACACTACGTGCTCCAGTTTGACCAAATCCAAATTTTTGTAGGCACATATTCTATATGACGTGTTAATTTTTTGTGTGCATCGATGCCAAAAAGGGAACACACATTGTGTTTATGAAACACCACATGCATGTGTCCGTCGATTACGGTGCCTCTGCGTGTGGTGTCTCGTGCGCATATGTGACGAAGGGGTAGGAGATGTTGGATGTTTGCCCATCTAAGCCTTATCCGTTTACTATCGTCCCACGCTCTACCTCTCTCCTTGGGTCATCCTTGTTGTATAGCCGGCTATGCAACATTGCCTGGTCGGTTGTTTAACTATCTGTTCGGTTGTTATCTGGCCATTACCCATTCGTGTACTTGGCTACCAGCCCTTTCTCTGGCATCGGGGTTTGTTGCACGTGTCTGGTTCAGGAAGCAACATATAATGATGGTGTTCCAGTTCTCCATGCCCCTGTTATGCTATCTACTCAGGTTTAATGCGCTAGTTGATTGGATGTAACCTATCTGGATTCGTAGTGTCGCGTGCTCCTCAATGGGGCTGTGATGCTCGCTGCAACCAGAGACCTTGTGAATTGTGTGGATGCACTGGAGGCTGAACTAGCTGCAATTCACGAAGGCATAACATTGGTGCTCAGTTGGACAGAATTGGACCTTGTGGTAGAGAGCGATTGTGCGGATGCGCTACATTTGATCTCTGCTGTGGGGAAAGATCGGTCAGCTCACACTCATAGAGTCATGGAGATTAAATCCCTGCTAGCTCAAGAAAGAAGGATCCAGTTACAGAAGATTAAGCGTAGTGTAAATCTCGCTAGCCACACTCGCCCATTTGGGACGTACTCAACAACGGACTGCTGTTTGGCTGCGTAACCCTCCCGATGAGATCGCGAGCATCATTGCCGCTGAGTGTAATCATATTACTTGATGAATGAAATCCTCTTTCCCGCAAAAAAAAAAGTGTCGCGTGCTCCTGTCGGACCAAATGCACCTTGTTGGGTTTGGCGGAAGAATCATGAACGCGGGTGCTGCATACGGATGACCATGAAACATCACCTTATTGGCCCTCTTTCAGTGCACTCGTCTATTTCCTAGTTGGGCATGCTTCCGTGTGCTTGGCTACTACCAATTTATCTATCCGATATGTTTGCTTGTAAGTGGTGCTGCTAGTGATGGAGAGAAGAAATGGGTTGGAATGGTGTTGGGTGCCCAACATAACTGTTTATTTTCTTTTACTTCCATCGAGGCGTTGTACCTGAATGCTGCCTGGTTGGGTCCCTTTTCCTGGCCGAGGGTTTTCTTATTAGTTGTGGGGCCGGCGCCGGGAAGAGAACAGGTTTTCAAAAGCTTTAGGTGCCCGAATGCTCTCAGCGGAATGTCAGAATGATGTTTGTTTTCTACTTTAATTATTATGGGCATAACTCCTCTCTCTTTAAAGCTAACGAAACAAATCTAGCATAAGTTTTCTTGAGTTTTGGAGTACAGGAAGCAATGTCACGTTCATGGGACGAGAGTCAGACCTCTTCCCAAGAGTAGGAGGATCTGGAACTCGAAGGCCATGACTCACACGGGAGCAAGGGGGAGAGCACACGGCACCTCCGCGATTAGACTTCCTTGGAGGAGAAACCGGAAGAGGAGCCCTTCGAGGACCAAGAAGACGAGGAGTTGGCAAAAAAGAAGCCGGAAGGGATCCCCACTGACTCAGCCAAGGTCATCACTGTCGGTGATCATCTCGACTTCGTCAACTACACTCTAATCATCGTGGTAAGTGTGGATTCAGTAGTTGCACCATCCATGAACCGATGGGAGAGAGTCTTTGAAGATCGACCCAAGGGCACGCAGGGAGCTTACCATCAGCGCACGCATCATCGTAAGAACCCGAGGAAGAAACTCCTCGTGGATCCTAAACCATGTGCTGGCGTTGAGGTACATGCTAGAAGTTTAAAAGCTAAAAATGATATTTTGCATGAACAAATCAAGGAGATGGAGACGACACTCTCTATAAAGACCCAGGTTGTGCTAGCCACAGGCCTGAGATCATAATAAACCAAGAAGAGACACTACACATGTACAAGCTTCGCATCACGGACTTGGAGGTGACCAACAAGCTCCTCCTCTACACACTCACCAACATCACCTTGCCAACATCTGCGAAGAGCACCGATCAATGAAGAGGAGACTAAATGAAGCCAACCATCTTAGTATGTTAAGCTTGGAGGGATTTTGAAGCCCTTTCTATTCCTTATAGTTTTTATCTAGTTGATTTTCAGTTAAAAGTCATTATTTCGTTTGAGTAAAAGTGGACGATCATGCTTCTTTTTGATTGACGGAATTCTTATATCCGATGAGTCAAGGGTGTTTTGATGAATGCTCTATTATTACATTCTTGAAATCATACTAGATATCAAATTAAACTGTGTGATGATATGTTCCACATGAAGATGATGAATATAAGTTTTCCACATCTTTAGTATCAATCAGATAGGAGAGGTTAACAACTAGATGATATACATCACTTTTATTTAAGTTTAATATTTTCCTAGCTAAACAAAAAAAAATACTTGGTGAAGACTATTGTATCATTAGCCAAATAAAATGATGAAGAGCAAGTTGCTTCTTCGGATAATACTCTCTTCAATAAAATAAGTGTCCATAAAAAAGGGTTTTCTATTTCTGTGCCCCTAGTTGCTTAGTTGTGCTCAGTTTTTCCCAAGGCAACTAACTTTGCTCACTTTTGACATCCCCCCTCCACCACCAGCTCACAAAAGCCCGAACATTGCACTGCCGTCCGGTCAAACCCTTTGACCGTTACCTCCCGACTAGTTTTTCTGTGTGTGTCTCCTCCTAAATAGTGGGGCCGCCTGATATCCTGACAGGTGGGGAGGATGCAACTTACTGCATGTGGGGCCTAGGAAGGTGGACGCCTCTTCCTCTCTCTCTCTCTCTCTCTCTCTCTCTCTCACCACATTTCAAACAGTCGGTACCCGAGCCGTTCCCTACACAACTGTCGCCGTCGCTAGAGCACCCGTAGCCGATAGCCAGCATGGCGACCAAA